CACAGAATCAAGGTCACTCGAATGCTAGTCACGCGTGAGCGGTGTACGTGCGCACTCGAGGGCCCTGATGGCAGCGTCGAACAAAATATGGCTACTTGCTGCCAGTACGCATGTGTGACAAGACGGCCATATCTGTGCGACATTTCGAGGACACTGCAATATTTGGCACAGAGAGGTGCAGGCGCGACCTGGCCACAGTTTGTGCACGCGGGCGGAAGACGTAAGCGTTGACGATGTGGTGGAAATAGAGATGCACGCGGTGTACATTTTGTGTATTCTTTGTTCTTCTCTCCTGTGCTGTAAACGAATGGAGTTTGAAGCAGCTCCTCTGGGGATTTACACTTTTATTACATTTAATTATCGGCTTTTGTTTAAAGGATATTCGATCCCAGCTGAGTTTGTAGTAGCAGCGCGGGGCGTAGCTGAATCAAGAAGCTCTTACCAATATAAACTGTGATGCTGGAATGACTACTGCTGGGTAATTTGCGTAATTTCATAGTACCACCACCCTAAAGTGCTAATGCACACAAAGTTTGCACCTGATTTCAATTGGTCACTCACCCCACATTCATCGCAAATGACCTTTAAACTTGAGCTACCGTGCTCACCTTCTGTAGACACGACTAAGGAATATGTAGTATAGCAAGATGGAGACAACCATTTCCAGTGTGCCTTGGAACTGCAAACATGGAGCCCAAGCGGACGGTTGCATCACGACAGTTCGACCATTCTTGCCGACGATGCCCACCGGGTGTTTCACAGCAAGGGGACAACAGTCACGGAGACTTGTGCGTGAGTTATGCTATAGTGTTCAAAGACTTGCACAGTATCTATGGCACTCCCTCCTCCTCCTCCTCCTCCTCCTCCTCCTCCTCCTCCTCCTCCTACTCCTCCTCCTCCTCCTCCCCCTCCCGCACCTGGGCCCGGCGTCAAGACAGAGTCAAGAAGGCCAGATGCGCGAAAGAGCCCAGGTGGATGGCACAGACGAGCCCGCACCTTGGCTCTCCACTCCACACCCCTCGCACAGCAAATGACCAGGATTTTAACCAGTGACTAAAATGGGGGGCGGCAGGGGTGTCAATGTGCGCGATGTCCGCCGGCAACTGGGTCTGTCACCGCGCCCCGAAACGTTGGCATTTGTTATGGTGCGCATTCCCGATAACGCTTGCCAGAATCCAGTACGGCTCCCGTGTTGTTCCAGTGCATTTATCGGGTGGCCTGCTTGCATGGCACAGACGATTGCATAGCGCCTAGCAGTCAAGTGGTCCGGAAATGACCATTACAGCGCCTCCTGTCTGCGACCGGAAAAGATGTCTGATTATTGATTGCTAGTGGCTACGCGACCGCCTACTTGGGTTCTGGACCAGGAGCTCCAAGTGCGACAAATAAATGCTTATTTTCGTTTAGGACTCATGATAGCTCGGTAAACGCCATTCTCGGGAGGCATTACATGACAGAATGTTTGACAGATTGTCTAAACTGTAAAAACCGCATTGTAAACGACAATTCCAGACTAAAATATGGTTGAAGTATCGCTGATAGACGATTGTATGACGTCACTTTTGTAGTCAGAGGGCAGGGGGTCATTTTGCCAAGGAATTTGTGAAGCTTTCTATGGACTATGGGCCCAAAAATTGTGCCCAAAATTGTGCTAAGAGTGATGGTATGCATATTGACGATGGTAAATAACCAGCACGGTGCACGTCACAAACTGAGGTCTGGAGCAGCTTATCCTATAATCGGTGCAGCGAAATAAATCCGGAATTGCACCACTTTTCGAAAATGCCTTTAAGGAAAATCTCGATCACCAATCAAGTTCGAAATGATTTTCCGGCCCCCCGCATTTTTTTGTCTCCACATTGTACGATAATTTATCCTCCTGTGTACTCAAACAAGACTCAGTCTGGAATTCATGTGACCTTTACGTATATTCCGAAGCTTTTGACGGTAAATACAGTTGATTGAACCAGCTCTAGATGCGGCAGCGATATGGTGTAGGACTCACAACTAACTTCAGCTAGCCTGTTAACCCTGTCATGCGTTGAATGGCGGTAGTGAGAGTTTTACGGATGGGGCAACACGCAAGACGGAGAGCAGGAGAACACAAAAAGTAGGTAAATTTCTGCCGAAAGCCTTATCGTACACCGTCATTTGACAAAGAACGTGAGCACGACAACTAAAAAAGTAAAGAAAAAACAGTTTTCAAAATATAACGGACTTGGAATAAAGCGCTGCTGGTAAGTTTACATCTGGTCAGAGAGGAAAGGAAATCTTAAACAATGGGAACGGTGAATAATAAGTGATGTTTACGGTTACATTGAATTTTGGGGTATATTGTTTTAGTGTCATCTACGTGTGGGTCATACACCCTATTCTTATTCATTTCATATTCATATTGACCCAACTGTAAAAAACTCGGCGCGTCGGTGGGACTTGAACCCACGACAGTAAGGTGAGGGCTTTAATACAGCCAACGCTCTAACCACCTGAAGTACGAGGACCCGCCGGACGACGCGAGTGTAATCACACATGGGTAAAGTTATCCGTCCATTTGTTTAAAAAATCGCAGAATTACATCCAAGAATGCAAAAAAAAATAAAGGGAGGGGGGACACAGAAAACCACTACCTTGAGCTGACGAACCAGAACATGGATTCAAGGACTGCGGTAGCGCAATTGCTCCAGCGCCTGCACTGAGAGCGCCTCCTCCGCGGAAAGTTGAAAGGCAGGGATTAGTGGCTGGGGTTTTGAATAGTGGTTCTCACGCTATGGTCGTGCACTGCATGCTTAATTGTCAAAGTTCTAGTGTTAAAGGCTCTGCCCTGACCACCTGCGAATATGACGAAGTAGGTTATTGAAGCAATCACGGAAGCCGTGTTCGTATCCCAGGTTATCCAAACCCAAGGTTGTGTATGGCTGGCTGACGACCACTAACACACCAGCAACAGCCCTCCCGCTCCTCCTATTCTTTATCGGTAGTCATCTCTTTCCTCATTAATTGTCGCTCTCCGACCGCCTACGAGGGTTATAGAGTGACTTCCGAGGCTCAACGGGACGATCAGGTCTCGCAACCCGATCAGTCGACGCCCTCCACAGGACAGTGAACTCATTTTAAGTGCCTCAACTCGGGTTTGTTTCATGTGTTTCACTAAACCTTATCCCTTCTCAGACGGCAGCTTGTGCAAAAAAACTGGTTAATCACTCCATTTATTCCTGTACTGCCGCGCGGTCGAACGCGAGTAGCTTCGATCAGCCACGCCCATTGCCGTCGATCTCACAGGCAAGCAGGCAGGCAGGCGGGCATGCGTGCGTGCATACATGTGCGATTAGCACGACGTCACATGACCCCCGGCCAATCAGGCGCGAGCTGAATTCCCTCGAGCGGCGGTTTGCGCTTAGCAAATACGAGGCGCCAAGTCGTCTGCCTTGCCCTCAGGGCTGAATACTTATCATGCTGAGCTCGGGTGGCTGAAAATGACCTTCCTCACCGATCATTTCGAAAAATTAAATACCCTGCATGTAAGCCTGTAGGGTGCAAAATGAAGCACGTGGGAGTCACGAAGAATTTGAGTCATTCAGTGCAAGGTCTCTACTGCGATTCAAGAAGGCATAATGTTAACAGTTCAGTTGCTGGCCAGGTGAGGGCGTTCCCCACGCGGAACCACCGTAACTCAAGAAACGCGTAAGACGCTGACGATACATTCTTCATCATTGACCAACTGCCTTACTTGACTTGAAACAAAAGAGTACGAATGAGTCATCAGTTGTTTCATAGAGTACAGAAAGCCGTGGCTGTCTACAAGGAGGTGAAGAACATCTTGTCTGTCTTAAAAACGATCCGGTTCCAAAAACATCGTTTTATGGGCAAGGGTTGCTAATATTCGGACCTCATTTCGGCGCCAGGATCCTCACTGGATCAAGAAATCAGGCATGTCGTACAGTCTTAGAGGTCTGAATTTTTACGAGTAAGGAGAACCACTGCGGATTGTAGCTGATGAAATTTGCATCTGTGTATCGGCCATCGGACCGTCTTTTAAGTTGGTTTTGTTTTTATAATAGGGTCGATCTCTGCATTAGTCAGAAATGTTTTTGAAAAGTTGAGTTGGCAAACACGTGTTTTCGGTAATTTTTCGTCAGGCTAATACAGGTACATGAAGGAATGAAGATGTACAAAATTAACAGTGTGTATAGGTGTCTCAAGGGCTAGTAAGTCATTAACACTCATCTTCCCCACACCGCCCGCATGACGAGGTCGGCGGGTTTTGGTCCTTAGAGCTAGGGGAGGGGGTAAGAAAGTCTTTGAGTGATGTTCTGGGATTGAGTACACAGAGTACCCGTCACTGCGATTAGAGATTTGAAGCAGCATGTCGTCATAACTTGAGGCTGGCGTTGGCCACGGCAGAGAGAGTGCTTTTATCAGGGTTTTCTGACAGCATAACGCTGGATTCGCTATCCGTATAGCCACTGCCTCGGCTGTTGTTAGTATCTGTTGGTGTAGGCCTTTGGAGAAGCTTGTTGGTGTCCGGTAGACAACCTTACATGCTTCCTTGGTATCGATCCGGTGATTCGTATCGACCAAATGTGCGAAAATAGAACTCGAAATCGATCGGGTCTCACCTCTGTCTAGCCAGGCGGGCATATGTTCATGCACCCTCTTTACCAGGCGTCTCTTTGTACGGCCGATGTATCCCGCTCCCCAGGAGCAAGTGAACGAGTAGATGCACATTGACGTGACCTCCAACGGTAGTCTGTCTTTACCTCACTTTCGTCTTCATAAAGTCGCCTAATTAAGACATCGTAAATGAGCAATTCACATCTATGAGCCCCCCTTTGACTGTTTCATTAGCCCACTTTATGGCACGCGTAGACGGACTGGCCAGATCTGTCTGCCACTGCGCCCCCACCCACCTCCGGTCATCTTGGCCATTATGGGTGGGGCGGCGGTGCGGTAGATGCTGCACAAATCACGTGCAAGTCTCCGCTGTCGGGCCCACTTTGTTCAGTTCAGTTTATTGAGCAAATAGGCATGCGGTATAAAGAAAAATGTTCTGGGCTGAAATAGTTCAAACAAGCCCATAATGTTAGGACAAAGTGGGAACGAGTTACAGGGGGTGAGGTCGGCTTTTCATCGCTCTTGGTCATTTCAGATCATAAATATGCCAAGGTTTTTTTTAAACTTAGTATAGATGATGACATCACAACATCTGCGGGAAGGACATTCCATGGTTTGACCACTCGAACAGAGGAGAACTTCTGCACATCCAGCCTTGCCTTCTGAGTGCGCAATTTTAACGGTTGACCTCGGAGGTTGGTCGTGGTAGCAAATTCAAAAAAGTCCTCGAAGGCCAGGCTGCAATCCAACCCCTTTACAATGCGGAATGCTTGCAAGAGATCCCCGCGATGTTGCCTGTACCTCAAAGGAAAGAGGTTCCGATTTACTAGGCGGGTTGCACAAGGAAAGGAGCTTTGACCCCTAACCATCTTCGTGGCTCTCCTCTGAACCCTTTCGAGGCAGTTTTGATCCTCAACCGCCCACGGTCTCCAGGCTTGTATGCCGTACTCCAAGTGCGGCCGCACGAATGTTCCCAATGTCTTTGAGAAAGCATCTTCGTCAAAATCCATAAACACACGCTTTATGACGTACAGTACGGACATGGCGCTTTTTGTCACCCTCCAACAATGGGCGAATGGATTTCGGGAACTCGTCGTCATCACACCGAGGTCCATTTGGGCTTCAACCTCTTGCAGGGCTGCACCGCCCAGAAACTAATCTCTTGTGCTGGCGGATCTGGCTGTGTTGCCTAGGCGAAGTATGCCGCATTTACCAACGTTGAACCGCAGGAGCCAACAGTTTGTTGGGCAGCGGTGGACGTCCTCGTTTGCGGCGTCGGATTGCCTTTCGAAAAAGGCGTTTTCTTGAATGCATCGCGGGTTAAGGAATTTGAGAGGCATTGGTCGAGGGTAAGCTATCGCCGAGCGTAAGTGCTATATACGGCGTCGTTAGGTGCTCGGAGAGCAATTGAGGAGATGGGAAAGTTAGGGCTGGCTAAAGGT